TGTCTGCGGTATCGTCCATTTTGATGAACCCCGTTGGGTTGTGCGAGGCCGCGAGAGAGCGAGCGCGAGACGACGCCCGCGAAGTTACTCCTTCAAATGATGTGTCGCGACAAGGCGCACTGGGATGACCCGATCACTAGCGCATACGAAAAAATCTGGAGTGCGTGGTTAAGTGATATGAAGGCTCTAAATGTTTTGAAGATACCCCGGTGAATTCGCAGGTTCACTGGGCCTGAAGAGCGGCCACAATTGCACATCTTTTGTGATGCTTCAGAGAATGGATATGGTGCGGTTGCTTATGCTAGGTTTCGCACCGAGAACATCGCATACTGCTCATTGTTATATGCTAAGTCAAGAATAGCCCCTCTAAAGGCTGTATCAATCCCACGGTTGGAATTGTCGGCGGCCGTGCTTGCAACGAAGCTGTATGAGGATGTGACCGAGAGGGCTCAGTTAGTTTTCGAAAAGGTATGGTTCTGGACAGATTCTACCACGGTCTTATATTACATAAATGATGAATCTAAAAGGTTTAGCACCTTCGTCGCCAACCGACTGACAATCATCCATGAATTGTCCACACCCAGCCAATGGAAACACGTCAAATCCGGTTGCAATCCTGCTGATCCGCTATCGAGAGGTACTACATCTCTAGCCTCCTTAAAGAACTGGTTCCTCGGGCCAGATTTTCTGCTGAGCGAGAACGATGATTGGCCCGAATTCTGCCTTAGTTGCGAGCCGGAAGATGCAGAACTGAAGCATTCTACTGTTCAGGTCTACGCAACCTCAAAGGAAACACCATTGTCTACTCTAATCCAAGGGTATTCAGACTGGGTTAAGTTGTTAAGGACTGTTGTGTGGCTGTCTCGATTCAAGCAGTACCTGAATGCTCGTAGGTGTGGAACCAGTGGAGTGCTGCAACATGCTCGGTTAATTACTCTAAAGGAACTTCACAGGGCCGAGTACGACGTCATTCGAATCGCGCAGCTCGAATTTTATCGAGCGGAACTAACACGACTCGAAAAGATAGCTGGGGACTCGGCGTCTCCTAAGGGGGAAATACTGCGAGGTCCTCTGGCGCGACTACACCCAATAATGCGTGATGGCTTGCTTTGTCTAGGTGGTAGGTTGGCCTACTCGGAGTACGATGCTTCCTTTAAGTTTCCAATTATACTACCTCCCAAGCACACTGTCACCGATTTGTTGATCCGCTTTTATCACTTGCTGGAAGGTCACGCAGGTGTTTCTCAAGTTCTGGCGAGTCTACGCCGTAAATATTGGATAGTTCGTGGAATGGCGGCAGTAAAGCGGTTAATAGGAACTTGTTGGACATGCAAAAAAAGACTCGCCACTGCCGGTCAACAGCTAATGGCACCGTTGCCGCTAGCCCGTGTGGAACGGGGATGGCACCCCTTCAAGTTTGTCGGCGTGGATTATTTCGGACCATTTATTGTTAAACACGGGCGGAGACAAGAGAAGCGCTATGGATGCCTATTTACATGTATGCAAGCACGAGCCGTACACATCGAACTCTCACCTACATTGAGTACTGACTCTTTTATCATGGCCCTGAAACGATTTGTTGCCCGCAGAGGGACCCCGGCCGAAATATTCAGTGATAATGGGGGCAATTTTGTGGGTGCTGCTACTGAGTTGCGTACTGCCATGAAGAGCTGGTCACAAGCAAAGATCAATGATAAGCTACTGAGTATAGGAGTGCAGTGGCACTACAACCCACCGATGGCCAGTCACAGAGGTGGTATTTGGGAACGCATCATTAGGTCTGTTAGGCGGATCCTGTTATCTGTCGCAGGGCAGCAGACGTTGGATGACGAGACACTGAACACTCTCCTTATTGAAGCGGAGCGCATCGTCAACAGTAGACCACTTGTACCGCTAACTTCGGACCCCAACGACCGCGAGGCACTTACACCTAACGATTTGCTGATATTGCGATCCAACGCAACGCATATATTAACGGCCCTGCCTGAAGAATATAACCGCTGTTGGCGACAGGTGAATTACCTAACTGCGTTGTTCTGGAAAAGATGGGTCAGAGAGTATTTGCCGTTGTTGCAATCGAGACAAAAGTGGTTACACAGCAGTCGAAATTTTAGACCAGGTGACGTGGTTTTGGTCTCTTCTGAAGCGAGCTCGCGTGGAACATGGCCATTGGGAGTTATTGAGAGCTGCACTGATTCTGGAGATGGGCTCGTCAGGACGGCTGTTGTCAGAACAAAGGAAGGGTTGTACAAAAGAGACGTGCGTAAGCTCTGTTTGTTAGAAGGAAGTGACACGGGTGGGAATGTAGTTCCGGCTGTTGGCTCTCCGCAGGTGGGAGGCGGGTCTTCGGATCTGCTGCTCCAGGGAGGACCACTGTGAGTCCAACAGCCGAAGTGGGAGGGATCAGGCGTACCGTTGTAAGTCCTGTGACCTCCCATAGCGGATGGAGTTGGCGTAGGGCGATCCAGAACAGAACGTGTCGTCCTCAACCACTGGAAAATCCGGGACAGATTTTCGCGGGGGAGTGTAACGTCCATTTTGTCAACAGCCATCACCCTTCGCCTGGACCCACATTATTGCCCTAATTCCCCTTGAATTCACTCTGTTTGAACGTTCCACGTATACCGCCCTGCATGACCCTTAGTCGTTTGTTTTCCATGCCCACCTTACATTGGTGACACCACCTGTCTCGCTACTTTCTTGATGCATGCTCCACTTTATCGATCACTGCTTCGCACTTGTTCCATTTGCGTGTTACTATTGAGGTCAGGGTAGACCGGAGATTTTGTGGGGTGGACACACCACCCATCCGGCTGACATGTGCCCCTAACCTCAGGTCTTCATAATGTGTCCCCCATTGAACCTGCTTGATGTGATTGGACTAGTGGCTGTTGGTTTCTTGATTGGCTCACTGGTGCATGTCTCGCATGTCATGTAACCGCGCTGGGTCATTTTGCTGACTGGACGACCGTATTGATGTCCTGTTCTTGTAACGGCCAACTGATTGTACTTGTCTTTGTTTGAGGACATTGTTGAAGTATGTTGTCACTTTGATCTTTTACTCTTTGTATAATAGCACCGTAGTTCAGCATCGACTGTGGCTTTTTTGTTTCTCCGGTGCCTACACACCAACTCCGATCCTTGTCGCTCATTGATCCCCTGTCGGAGGCCGCGAATCGGTGCCCTACGCGTTGTCCAACTATCCTAAGCGATTTTTGAAGCTTACAGTGTTCAACAATCCTTTGTTTGAAGACGTCACTCTTTTGGACTTGCAATGGAAACACGAAAGAAGACGTCTATGATTCTTGAACAGAACACGATTGGATCCCGGCAAGTTGAATATTTGCCTGTTGTTGACGATAATGTTTCTTGTTCTGGATCGCATAATACCTGTAAGGGTAGTCAGGCTCGAAGTTCGGTTAGTGCACGTTCTGCTGTTAGGCTGGCGGAGCTTAAGAGAAAGCAAGCCGAAACTGAGCTGGAGATTGCTAAGTTACGGTTAGAAATAGAAGTGGGCGCGAACAGCCATGAACATCTCGCCACCTCAAGTCATGTGCCTGAAATCAGAAAGGAACGTATGAGTCAGTTTTTGAAGGATTGTCAAGAAGCAGTGCCACCTCCAGTTACCCCTATGCCGTATTACCACCCGTTTTTGGGAGCTTGTCAACCGCCACTAGATCTGCCGAGAGTCGAGTTAGAATTTTTTGATGGTAATCCGATGACTTATTGGAGGTTCATCAAACAGTTTGAATACTTCGTTGAGGGTCGCGTAAGTGATAGCGGCCAGCGGTTGCTGTACCTTGTGTATTATTGCAGAGGGCGTGCTAAGGAGGCAATTTGTGAATGCACGATACTTCCACCAGAGTTGGCTTATAACAGGGCTCGATGCATTCTTCAAAATCTTTTTGGTCAAAATCATGTCATTGCTCGCTCCTTGATCGATGGTTTGCTTACTGGTCTAAGGCCCCTTAGGGACGACTGTGAGGCTTTGTCGCAATTGTCACTGAAGATGGAAAACTGCCATCTAGCTCTATCTCAGATGAATTTCACGGCCGATTTGAACTCTATAGCCACCATTGAACGAGTGGTTCGTAGTTTGCCCAATGCTTTGCAATCTCGATGGGCCAGGGTGGCAGATGCTATAATTCAACGCGGAGGAGAAGTTGAATTTCGAGATTTGGGAGACTTTGTTGCTGCTGAGGCGAGAGTAGCTCGTAGTAGATTCGGCCAAATAGCGACCGCGAGTACACCACGAAGCCAGACTACCGCACAGCCGTCAAGATTAGCTGATCAGGGAAAAACTAGGAACTTCTCCCTTTACACAGTATCAGAGAAGGCCAATGGATCGGCTTGTCTAGTTTGTTGCGGCGAACACAGTGTAGCATCGTGTGAGAAATTCTTAGCTATGGTTGTCCCGGCTCGTTGGGAAATTGTCAGAACAACCGGTGGATGCTACAACTGTCTAGGGTTGGGTCACCGAGCTTCAAGCTGTCGCAGCAATAAAGGATGCAGCCTGTCTACGTGTAAGGGGTGGCATCACTCGTTGTTACATCGCGACAGAGCCCCTGTTACTCCCCAGGATTACTCAAATACTTGTAATGCGGCCGCTACCTCTCCCAACAGGGTCTCTCTGGGCGTGGTACCAGTGCGTTTAGATGGCCCGTTAAGGTCAATTAACACTTATGCTTTGTTAGACACTGGTTCGGATGTGACGCTAGTGCAGGAGGACCTTTTGCAGGAGGCGGGCGTAAACGTTGACCCTACATCTTTGACGATGCAGACAATAAGTGGTATTACATCCTTGCAAGCAGGTGTGGCCAATTTCCGCTTGTCGGCGTTGAGAAGTGCAGACTACGTCACAGTTGAACGTGCCTACTGCTTGAAGCGCTTGCCATTACGATCAGTGGGAAACGCTTGTGGTCAGCTGGCAAAGCACTGGCCACACTTATCGGACATCCACTTTGATGATCTGACGGATAACAGAGTCCGAGTATTGATAGGTGCAGATGTACCCGAAGCACATTGGCAAATTGAACGCCGTACTTGTGGTAGGAAACACCCGTTTGCCGCGAAAACCCTACTCGGCTGGATATTGTTGGGGCCTGTGAACATGAGTGGTCAGCATTGCGCTTCCGTAAACTGTGTGCAAGTGGATGATCATTCGCTAGAAGCACAACTTAAAATGTTGTATGATGGTGGGTTCGAAGGTGTCGGCTCCAGCGCCCGCTCCCTCTCCATAGAGGATAAGACAGCACTGTCCATCGCTGAAAATTCTATACGACTAGTGAAGGGACACTTCGAAATAGCTCTACCTTGGAGAAATCGACAAGCAGTTGTTCCAAATAATTATGGGTCAGCTCTTCACAGATTGCACTGTTTGAGTCGACGACTACTAAACAATCCAACATTGCGCGAAAGGTACACGGCGGCATTGGAAATAAGCAGGACTAAAGGATACGCAGTTTTGGTGCCACCTGCGCACTTACAACCAGGCTATGCACCAAAATGGTATTTACCGCACCACGCAGTGATTAATCCAAAGAAGCCGGACAAACTTAGAGTGGTGTTTGATTGCGCCGCAAGGCACAAAGGGCTTTCCCTAAACGATCAACTATTTCAAGGACCAGACACTACCGCGGATCTAATTGGAGTCCTACTGCGTTTTAGGGTTGAGATGGTAGCGGTTTCTGCAGACATTGAAGATATGTTTATGCAGGTGAAGGTGCCCATGAGTGACAGAGGTGCGCTACGCTTCCTTTGGTGGAAGGATGACGAGATTGGCTCGGAAGTGATCGAGTATCAAATGACGGCACATCCATTTGGAGCCACTTCATCACCGTTTTGTGCCAACTTTGCCTTGCGTCGAACAGCTAGCGAATGGGGATGTCATTATAATGAGAGTGTAGCCGCAGCAGTACACCATAACTTCTACGTCGACGATCTTCTGATCTCACTACCAACTGTTGAAGAAGCGACGCAATTTGTGGCACAGATCAGGGAGATGCTGAGCAAAGGAGGGTTCAAGTTGTGTAAATGGGTCAGCAGCCACGAAGGGGTGTATAGTGCGATTCCTTTTACAGAGGTCACCGGGTCAGTCAAGCCTTTGGCTGAAGCATCTGGATCGGTGAAGCGAACACTGGGGATAGCTTGGGATTCTCGTGAGGACGCCTTTCTTTATCAGTTCGCAATACCAGATAGGCCGAAAACGAGAAGGGGCATCTTGTCTGCGGTATCGTCCATTTATGACCCCTTGGGTTTTATTGCCCCTTTAATTATGCCCGCGAAGTTACTCCTTCAAATGATGTGTCGCGACAAGGCGCACTGGGATGACCCGATCACTAGCGCATACGAAAAAATCTGGAGTGCGTGGTTAAGTGATATGAAGGCTCTAAATGTTTTGAAGATACCCCGGTGCATTCGCAGGTTCACTGGGCCTGAAGAGCGGCCACAATTGCACATCTTTTGTGATGCTTCAGAGAATGGATATGGTGCGGTTGCTTATGCTAGGTTTCGCACCGAGAACATCGCATACTGCTCATTGTTATATGCTAAGTCAAGAATAGCCCCTCTAAAGGCTGTATCAATCCCACGGTTGGAATTGTCGGCGGCCGTGCTTGCAACGAAGCTGTATGAGGATGTGACCGAGAGGGCTCAGTTAGTTTTCGAAAAGGTATGGTTCTGGACAGATTCTACCACGGTCTTATATTACATAAATGATGAATCTAAAAGGTTTAGCACCTTCGTCGCCAACCGACTGACAATCATCCATGAATTGTCCACACCCAGCCAATGGAAACACGTCAAATCCGGTTGCAATCCTGCTGATCCGCTATCGAGAGGTACTACATCTCTAGCCTCCTTAAAGAACTGGTTCCTCGGGCCAGATTTTCTGCTGAGCGAGAACGATGATTGGCCCGAATTCTGCCTTAGTTGCGAGCCGGAAGATGCAGAACTGAAGCATTCTACTGTTCAGGTCTACGCAACCTCAAAGGAAACACCATTGTCTACTCTAATCCAAGGGTATTCAGACTGGGTTAAGTTGTTAAGGACTGTTGTGTGGCTGTCTCGATTCAAGCAGTACCTGAATGCTCGTAGGTGTGGAACCAGTGGAGTGCTGCAACATGCTCGGTTAATTACTCTAAAGGAACTTCACAGGGCCGAGTACGACGTCATTCGAATCGCGCAGCTCGAATTTTATCGAGCGGAACTAACACGACTCGAAAAGATAGCTGGGGACTCGGCGTCTCCTAAGGGGGAAATACTGCGAGGTCCTCTGGCGCGACTACACCCAATAATGCGTGATGGCTTGCTTTGTCTAGGTGGTAGGTTGGCCTACTCGGAGTACGATGCTTCCTTTAAGTTTCCAATTATACTACCTCCCAAGCACACTGTCACCGATTTGTTGATCCGCTTTTATCACTTGCTGGAAGGTCACGCAGGTGTTTCTCAAGTTCTGGCGAGTCTACGCCGTAAATATTGGATAGTTCGTGGAATGGCGGCAGTAAAGCGGTTAATAGGAACTTGTTGGACATGCAAAAAAAGACTCGCCACTGCCGGTCAACAGC